CGCAGCCAGGACCGCGCCCCAGGCCCCCCGCGTCCCAAGCGCACCCCCCTCGGCCATTCTGACTGCAGGCCACCATCGGAAGTCTGTCCCCAGTACTTAGCGAGCGAGTCCTGACCCAGAAGCAGCGCCACACTCAGAGCCTCCCTCCTGCGAGCTTTAGTGTCTCCAAACACAGCTCTTTTGCTCAAAGACAGTGAGGAGGAGTCCGGACCAGACACACACAGCATGAAATCAACACCATGTTTGCTTTCCAGTTCGTGCAGTCCATTGACTCATCCATAGGTTTTTTCGCCCTCTTCCTCTCTCTTTTCTTTTTGTTTTCTGTTAGAAAGTCATGTTTGCATTGTCTCATCATATTTTTCTCAATTTTGTTCAAACTCAAATCCTGGGCTCCCAGATGACGGGTAACATTTTGCTCACTCTGCTTTAGAGAAACGTCACCAAGCAGTTTGGGTCTGGGTTTTGTTGAGCCAGTGGGTAATAAACTTTACTAACCATTTTTATCTCTATATGTGGTGACCCCTACCTAAAAAGGAAGTAGCCTTCAAGAGAAAAATGTCTTGGAGTTATTTTTTCTGAAGGATGTCATTGCATTCTTGATGAAGTGCACCCTCTTTATTACCCCTTTCTTCAGGCTGTTTTCATTTTGAATGAACTAGCAAGGAACACACAAGATGTGCTTGACAGAAAATACCTGGTGACACTTTCCTTTTGGTACTTAAGTCTCAAATACGATCCAAATCTTTAGTTTCCCTTTACCGTTTGTACTGTGTGTGTGTGTGTATGTGTGTCCTAGTGATTTAAAAGAATTGGACTTTGCAGGCTCTAAGTGCAGCGTTGATCCAGCATAGATCATCATGCTAGCTGATTTCTCAGAAAAGGAAAGGCATTTTTCCCTTCAGGACAATATAATAAAAAAATCTCTTAACCAACGGGAGGACCGATTATAACATTCAGCTCTGAGCTGTAAACCGCCAGAGTGAGGTGCACCTGGAGTGGGCACCCCTGAGACCAGGAGCTCTCTGGACGGCCTGTCAGTGAAGAGAAGGCGGGCTATGGTGCAAACCTTTCCCCATTTTTCTTGATGGCATCAAAATGTCCTTTTGGATGAAAGTCAATGATAAAATACCTTCTCTATTCTTCCCTTTAAAAATGCTCTTCTTCTTAGCTTTGGCACGTTGGCTAGAAGCAAAACTTACTTATAGGGGAAACCATCTTAATGCTCTCCCTGGGCCCCGTCTCCTCCTGTGCCCACCCGGCAGCCTGCGTCTCACCTCTCCACCTTTACCTTATTGTCCTCTGCTGCCTCGCGTTTTATGCCCCGTACGCTTCAGCCCTCACCCAGGATGGGGCCTCTCAAATTCTTTCCCATTTCCATCTGGGGAACTGTTCCCCTGAAGTTTTGTGTCTGTGGCCCTGCTCTTCCTGCTGGCTCTCCACTGTCTTCTCATCAGATTTTGGCTTTCTTGGCCTTCCTCACACAAAAGTGCTTTCTGCAACCCTGAAGTCCTGAATTTGCGGTTTCCCTTCAACCCCTCAGCGCTGCATCTTGGAGGTTGCCCTGTATCTGCCACCTTTACTCTGAAACCTGCCCTCTGTCCTGACGTCAGGAGAGTGAGACACGTCAAACTCTTCCTCTCGCTGGCTCTGCACTGCAAGGGTGGACGGAAGGCTGCATTTATGTTTGACACGCAGAGAACCTGAGAAGCTAGGCAGACAAGCGTGTGGCCCCATCGCCACCTTCCTGACCACGCTGGTCATTTCAGAGAGCTCTTCCTCCCTGGTCTTGATTCAGGCGCGTGCCTCTTACATGCAGTGTTCTTTCCCCCTAGACCCCCCCTCCCCCGCTCACCCTCATCCCCAGCACTTCTCCCCCACCCCCCAGAGCTTCCTCCGACATCGGGGTGAGTCAGGTCGGGGTGGCTGGTCGGGCCCCAGGAGGGCACGTCTGGCTGCCTTGGTGACCTAGCCCGAGCCTGGCCTCTTCACACGCCATCTCATCGGCAGCCCCCGCCTGGCCGGCAGCCGGTTTCACGCGCCTCCTTGTGTCCCTGTCTCCTCCCCAGGGAAGGCGTCGAGAAGAGACACTCCAGCCACCCTTCACCAGCACCCGTCCTCCCGGTGAGCACCCTGGGCCACAACCGCAGCTCAACCGAACAGATCAGGGGTCATTTGAACACTGAGGCGCGCGACAAAGACAAATCCAAAGAGAGGGAGCGAGACCACTCGGAATCTCGCAAGGACCCGGGCGCCGACGAACACAAGGCGAAGGAGGGCGCCCTGCCTGAGAAGGACGGCCACGGCCACGGCCACGAGGGGCGCGCCGCGGGCGAGGAGGCCAAGCAGCTGGCCCGGG